AATCTATTTAAACTTCAGTGTTAGTGAATAGGCAAATTAAGCGATAAATAGGCTGTTTAATGTATGTACTTCCATATCCATAGCAAACTGCGTTCTTATCTAACATCTTGTCAAACATTAACATTCAATAAAGCGTGTTGTTTGCTCAACTTACTCTTTAATTAGTGTTGAGTTTGAGTACAAATTGCCCACAACACCTGCATTAATTTTGCAAAATTACTCCAATTTAAAAAAATATATACAGGGTGCTGCATTTTGGATGTCCGAATAGGGAATCTCCGAAACTAAGAGGTTTAGCCAAAAACGAGTAATACATTCTGGGGCTCATTTTTTGAGAAAATAATATTGGTTAAAACCGCATCCCGCTATCGTCTTTTGTTTTCGACTTATAGACAAAAATTAACATTTTAGCGAAATCTAAAAAAATTCATATCTTCGTTATTATAGAAGAGACAGATTTGAAATAAGGATATTATACAGGCACTTTTTTTACGTAGAATTTAATAATGTGGTTAACAATTTTTTTCAGTTGTTTGTTTAGCCGTAATAAAATAAACTTCTATTTATTTAAATGGGAATCATATATGGCTGTCATTTTTAAAAAGCTTGTTTTTTTCTTATCTAAAAAATATACAGGGTGTTCCGTCTAAACCCCACTTTAAAAGTATTGGGAGTTGGAATAATTGTATTTATTTTAAAATTGGTACACAGCCATAGACCATTAAGTCCTCCTAAATGAAAATACTTTCAAGATGGCGGCACTTCCGGTTATACCGGAAGTCGGTCTTAACTTTCTTATTTTAAATAGAAAGGTAAATTTTTTACTGCGTTTTTGGATTAACCGAGTTATTTTAAGGGAGTTTTCATCAGCTTTTCCTATACCTAAATTTAGTCGTTTTTGAAATATTTGGAGTTTTTCAAAAATTTTTGGATTTGCACCTTCGACTTTAAAAACTGGTAACTCTGCCATTTTTTAAGATTTTAAATTTGTTTTTTTGGCGTTTGAAAGAGAAATAATTATAATTTAAATTTAATTATATTTTAAATAATAATTTTGTTCTGAGGCGCTCTGATATTTGTTCAAGGCTTCTACCGTATCGTATTTTTAAAATCTTTATAATTTTATCTATTTTTTCATCTATTTTACAGTTCACAAAACTCTTATTGATTATTATTTACACATTTGGAGTGAAATAGTTTTTCCATGACCAACTATTATCACACAAAATATGTGTTTCACTTTTTAAGTATAGTTATAAAAAAATATTTTGTTACAAATATATATTTTTTAGATCAGAAAAAAATAAGCTTTTCAAAATTGCCAAAGCCGCCTATGATTTCCATTAAAAAAAATACAAGTTTATCTTATTACGGCTAAACTAATAACTGAAAAAAATTGTTAACTACATTATTAAATTCCTCGTAAAAAAGTGCCTGTATAATGTCTTTATTTCAAATCCGTATCTTCTATAACAACGAAGATATGAATTTTTTTAGATTTCGCCAAAATGTCAACTTTTGTCTATAAGTCGAAAACAAAAGACGATAGCGGGATGCGGTTTTAACCAATATATTTTCTCAAAAATTGAGCCCCAGAATGTATCACTCGTTTTTGGCTAAACATCTTAGTTTCGGAGATTCCCTATTCGGACATCCAAAATGCATCACCCTGTACATCATGTTTTTCCATCACCCTTATTCGCCACTTTTTCAGGTTTCAGATTTAAAGAAGAAAACTTTTTATTGCGCTTGAACTGAATTCTTTTGTAATAAATATCGGTTAAAGTCGTTGCAAATTAAGTCTCTTGTAAATTATGTTAGATGCAAATTAGTGTTGCTCCCAGATTGACTTGTCGAAGCGAGAATGAATGTGTCAAATAAATAAAATTAGAATTATTAGTGACTGAAAGTGGTGCTTTCATTTTGCCCGACTGGAAAGCAAAAATTCGCAATTTTACCGTGTAATAAGCTTTGACTTACTACACCAAGAAAACATCGTTTACTTGACAATTTAATTTGACACATTTATCCTCATAATCGCTGTTAATAGCGTTTTCCTTCTCGAATACAACTCGTTATGAACCGAGTGCCATATTTGGATAAATACTTTATTGCTAACTATTAACATTATTTCGAGAAAAACTTTACGCTATTACTGAAGTATTTCACGCCAAAAGGGGGTATTGAGACAAATTGTGGTAACTTAATTATTTAAAGACTATTTGCATAGATGTACGAGTCGTCACAGTTGCTGTGACGTTAATTAAAATGAAATATTTGCATTTTAATAAATTAATTTCAGTTTTTTAAATCATGTGTATCTACATAAATTGTTTCCTGTTGGTGTGCTATAATATTTCACATTATGATTTAATTGGGATCGCACGACATGTAAACTTAATTTTTTCTCTAACAAACCAATTGAGGCAATTAGCGTTTGTGGTATCATGAAAGCGCTTGATGTTTCTGAACAGGAAAGGGACTTAATTAAAGTAATTAATTTTACTGAACAAAATAAGAAGAAATTTAAATAGCAAACGTCTCAAAGGAGTAAATGTGACAGATAAGATACGATTACAGATAACGACAAACTCTGACTCAGCTACTAATAAACATAGTTGAAAGAACGTCGCCGGAAATGGAATAAATACTTTAATTTACAAGAAAATACCTCGATTGTAAATAAAATAAAACAATTAGGTTTTATTAGGGCTAACACGACTAAGTAATGAAGTTAACAACAATGAGAAGAGGTGGACAAGAAGTAATTATCGCGGATAATTGCAATTACAAAGCAAGTTTAACACAAGCTCACCCCACCCACTTCCTAATGTAACAAATCTTTTGATACGTTATCAGTAGTGAAAAAATAAGCAAAAAACGATTCTACTGAATTTCTGAGAATTCCCAAAAATCTCCCAGAAGTAGAAGTATGTTAAAAAAACATTTTTGATTGAAAAATAGTACATTATTAAAGAGCAACACTTAACTAGCAAGTAAATGAACAAAATAACCAGGACGCTTTGCAAACAAATGAAAAGTTACTAATAAAGAAAACATTTTTTAATCAAATTTGATCATTAATGAAACATAAAATCGGGCTTAGTCTTGTACATTGAATTTTTTACTGGCACTTAACAATTTTTAAAATACAGAGTGCGCCAGAACTCGCGTCCCAGAGGAAAATTTCAAGTACGATAAGATACCAGAAACATGGAAAAAATGTTTAAAATTTTTTATCTGTCAATAATTTTGACATTTGACATTTTTTTATGTATATTTAATGATACTGATGATCTTCTACCTATATGTTTTTTTTATAATTATTTAGTAAAGGTTCAAAAATTTTGCCAATACAAGCCACAAATAACATCAAACAGATATACAGTTACCTTGTTTCCTCTTCTAATAGCTTGTAGCAAAAAACTTGGAAAAGTATTTTTCCAATAGAAATAAATACAGGGTGCGCCAGAACTCACGTCCCAGAAAAAAAATTCAAGTAAGGTAAGATACCAGGAACATGAAAAAAATGATTAAAAATTCTATCTGTCAAAAAATTTTGACATTTATTTTTTAACATTTGACATTTTTTTATATCTATTTAATGATACTGATGATCTTGTATATGTTTTTTTACAATTATTTAGTAAAGGGACAAAAATTTTGCCAATAAAAGCCACAAATAACATTGAACAGAGTTACAATTTAGGATACAGCTTCCTTGTTTCCTCTTTTAATAGCCTATAGCAAAAAAACTTGGAAAATTATTTTTCCAACAGAAATAAATAGAGTCAAAATGCAAACTTTAAACCTTCATGACTTCGAAATTTTTATAGATAGAATTTTTTTTATATTTTTTCCATGTTCCTGGTATCTTACCTCATATGGCATTTTTCTCTGGGGCGCGAGTTCTGGCGCACCCTGTATAAAAAACACAATTTAAGAAAATTTATTAACTAAAAAAATAAACTAGGCACTAAATTCGTTCTTGAACAGCATTTATCAAATTTTTGTCACTCATTATCCATACTCTATATTTTTCTCAAAATAATTGCTTTCCATTAAACCCAATTTATAAATTTTATAAAATAGTATTAGAAAAAATACTATACATATTAAACAATTGTATTTTTTTGGATTAAAGATAATATTATGTAGTTTTTCTTTGTTTATTAGAAAAGAATAGTCTTTTTTTTCCAAAATTAATGCTAAAAATCGCAATAGTTAAATCAAAAAATGTATTTTTTCAGCTTGATCAATTTTTAGTCAGATTTTTTTAAATAAATGTAAAAATAACTTAAATGATGCTATACTTAAAAAAAACCTATTTCAGCTTGTTTTGTTAAATTTAGATTTTTTTAAAGAAAATTGTCATTTTCAAAATTTTAAAATTTTTTAAAATCACAAAATTAGACTACGAATTTAAGAGTAATTTTTTTAGTTCAATTTTTAACAAATTTATCATTAATTAATGCAAGAATAGTATATTATGTAAAAAGATAAAAATAGCATTGGTACATGTTATGGTAAAAGTAAAAAAGCCAAAAAACTTAAGCGCAAAAACAGAATGGCCAAAAGGTAAAACTTTACTTATAACATTTAATCATAAAAGCGGTCACTTTTGTGACATTAGCAGATAAGATAATCTTTTTTTGTACAACTTTTAATAAATCTCTTGGGGGATTTGTCGGTGTGTTTGCTCAGCAGTTCCGCCTCTTATGGCCCACTTTGAAGCTAATTGTGAGAAATTAGTCTACCGACAGGGTGGTCTGCATTACCTTTCTCTCCACTCGAGTAGTTCAAAAATATCTACTAAAATAAAATAAAAACAAAAACAATAGCCGAAATTTCACGTTTTAGTCATTTTTTCTCTTTTATTGTAACTGTTTTGTACCGAATGCTACTCATGCATGAAAACCCAGGTTGCGGTACCTAGCCTCAAGACATCATTGTATGTAAATGAGGAACACACGCCATTAATTTTATTTTCTTTATTTCAGAAAAATGGAAGCAGTGATTCGTGAAGGAGCACTTCGTTTATTGACATCTGAGACATCCTGTGATGTTATCTTGAGTTGTCAAGGACATCGCTTAATGGCCCACAAACTAATCCTGTCAATTGCTAGTCCTTTGCTACACGTGAGTAAATTCTCACACACAGATGTAATAATTTATTATTACGGAAATAATGTCTAAAAGATTTGTGTTGTGTGTTTGAACATTGAATTCCAGACGACGACACATATCTCATGTCGGTGATCGTTACTTTAACCAATCATTCTTGGACAAAATGACAGTTTTTCTTATACAGAGTGGCCAAATTATTTTTTATTTTACTACACACATGACAAATTGACATTTTTGAAATCTGATCATTTTCAGCTTCACTTGAATAAAACAATCGAAAAAAAAATCTTTTATTTTTCAGTTATGCATTTTGTAGCAATTGTAATTAGAATTTTTTTCCTATAGTTAGAATCACAATTTTTATAAGACGGCAAAAACTATAACTTCAACTTCAAGCCTAGTCTGGAAATTAAAACGTGGTTAGTGCAAGACGCGAGTTTTTGATACGCTTCATTAAAATTTTGTTTAGATTTATAGTAACTATATTAAAAAAAAACATTACTGTTGTAACAATAAGTCTGCTACACAGTAATTGTGATTAGATTTATTGCGCTTCAGGCAGATAAACAGTAATCCCAAAACATATTCTCTTTGATAATAAATCGAATCAGTATTTGTATAGAGCACACGAGTTGGTCAATACTATTTTTCTCAGCTGTACTCAATGCAATCGCTCGTGTTGATAAAAAAATCAATGTTCAAATTCAAAAAAGTGAAGCAATTAATCAATTCTGTAAACTAAAGACTCAATTTTCAAGATTTTGTTTAACCTGCCCAAAAAATCACTAAATTAAGTCAAAAATAACATTATTTTTGTCTTGTTCGAGTGTTTTAACATGTTTTTTTTTATAGCAAGAAATTATAAGAAATATTTCCGATGTTGTCTTCGACAAACTACTTTGTATATTTCGGAATTTTTATAATAATAATAAATTTTACAAATTCAAAATAAATTAAATTATGAACGCAACTGACAAAAAATCCAGTCTTACAAGAAAACACCCAATTTCAAATTCTTTTAATTTCAGAATCAAAATTTTTAATGACATAATTGTTTTATTTTAGTAAAAGTTTTAGAAAAATTAATAACATTTTTTTTTAACTTTTTGATTAACCAAATTTGGTGACATCCCAACTTATGTCGAGAGAATTATTTTAAAACAAACAAAATTTTTAAACATAAAAAGATAAAGGTATTGGGAAGCAATTTTTTAATTGATGTAGGTAATTTATTAATAACTAAGTAACATTTACACTTTTTTTCTTACAATTTACAACAGTTCACATTATTAATTTTCAAATCTTCTTAGAGCAATTTTTAATTAATTAAACACTCTCAAAACAATTTTACGAATTTTCCAACAATCATCAATGAAAAAAACACAACAGATAATAAATAACACAACAGAGCAATAAATAAACTTTTTACATTTCTTAGAAAAAAACACCAATAATTATTAATTTTAGTAAAAACACATATTTCATGTCGGTGATCGCTACTTTAACCAAGTAACTTGGAAAAAATGACAGTTTTTCTTATACAGAGTGTTATTACAAGTGATAAAATAATTTTTTATTTTACTACACACATGACAGAAAAATTGACATTTCTGAAATCTGATCATTTTTAGCTTCACTTGATTAAAATGTGTCCACTTCATGACAATTGTGGTTAGATTTATTATCTGTGCAGCTAAGAGAAAAACAAATTTTTGTTTTTGTTGTTTTTAGGAAAAAGAAACAGCAAAACATATTTTTATTGCTATTCTAATAATAAATCTAACCACTATTAAGACAGAGTGCAGAAGCTTACCAAACTATTTTCCTCAACTGTACATAATTTTTCAGTTATACATTTTGTAGCAATTGTGATTAAAAATTTTCTCCTATAGTTAGAATCACAATTTTTATAGGACGGCAAAAGCTATAACGACTTTTTGATCCGCTTCTTTAAAATTGTGATTCGATTTATATAAAAAAAAACATTGCTATATAGTGACAATAAGTCTGCTACGTTTCACAGTAATTGTGATTAGATTTATTATGTTTCAGGCAGATCCCAAAACATATTCTCTTTTGATAATAAGTCTAACTCGTATTTGTACAATTGCAAACAAAATACTTTGGTCATAATTTTTCTGTCACTTCAGAAAAAAATTATGTAAACCAAGCATTAACATCAAATCAACATTGATTTCAATTTATTGACTTTTCATTGACAGTCAGGTTGACAGTAGTAAAAAATGAGGTTATCTATCCTAATGCTTGCTTTACAACTTTATGTCACTCAAATGACTTTGACGACTAAAGTAGAGAGCGCACGAGTTGGTCAATACTATTTTTCTCAACTGTACTCTATGTAATGGCTCGGGTTGATAAAAAATCAATGTTCAAGTTCAAAAAACCGATGCCTACTCAGCTAATTCAATAAGAAGTAAGTTAATGAAAAATGAAGACCGTGTAGAATCAATCAAGTAGGCATTGTGGGTCGTTTTTTTTTCTAGTGAAAAATTTATCGCTTTAGGGAGGAAAGAAAAACTGGTAATTAATACTACATTAGGATTAGCTTCTTATTTTTGTGTTGATGGGAGAGATAGCTTTAAAGTGCCATTATATCTAATTTTAACAAAAGAAATCATTACTAAGCACTTTTTACCAACACAGAAGCACTAATGGACCGGCCTTAAATAGCACCGAAAAGAGAATTAGCTAGCAGCTGCGGTACAACACTTTTACCAATCAAACAAAAACAATAATTATGCAAAAAAAACATAGGGTAAAGCCGGGAGAGAGTATGTTTTTCAAAATGTGGTCCATCTCTTCTAATGTTATTGGCAAAAAAATCTATTGGCAACACTGAATTAAACAGCTACATCAGCAAATTAATGCCTATAAAAGTTTGACATTTCAATTTGAAAGTCATTTATAGTCACCCGGTACATGTAATTCTACACTACACATCACTTGATGTAACAAATCACTACTTGGAGCAATTTATAGCTACCCCAATAATTACGATTTTTCGCAAATAACAACTACAGCTACTAGATGCTCCAGGCAACCATTAACTAGATAAACTGTTTTCTAATATTCTCAACTTAAGATTTATCTCAAACAAACGTATTATCACGAGTGAATTTGCGTTATTTTTATAGAAAAAAATGCATTTTGAGGGGACTGGTAATTGTTGTTTATAATTGTTACTTTGTTCCATTGGCTTGAGATCAGATAACAACAGAATAGCTGAAACGCATGGTAAACAAGATTAATTAAGCAACTAAGATTTGTGCATATTTTTAAATGGAACAGCAGGAATAAATTTTGTGTGGAAAATTGAGTTAGAAAGCTTTTTATATTCATCATCATTTACCTACATGAACGTACTTATTATTTTAATAAAGATTGGGCTTGTTTTAAGTGGAATTTAATGATGCTTAGTAGTTAAGAAACTGGAACATTAATCATTGTCGTCTTGACAAAAATACTTCACTATTATTGAGTGATAATAAGCCTAATAATTGCTAAATAGCTGTAGTGTGTAAATTTAATTGACACAGCATGGAGGCTTTGTGGCATATGAGAGTTTCTCTATATATGCATATATTTTGATTAATATACACCAAGATTATGTTTATAATTTTTTTCTATTAAGATTTTAAAAAATAATGCATTTTTTGAATAGAAATAATCAACGTTGGATAGAAAATAATGTATGCACAAAGAACAGGTGATTGATGCCTTAATAAGCGTTTCGAACGAAATGTGTTTTTGACAATAGCGAAACTAATAGTGTTCTTAGAATTGATTTACAATTATTTTTTTATACATGTAAGTTCACACAAATCTGTATAATTTTTATTGTTAAACTCAAAATTTTTGATTTAGACCTAATTTGACCAAATTTTGACAAAATCTTTAATAAGTGAGTTTCTAAAACAAAATTTAAAAAATATAAAATTGCCTATAATTATATTTAACAGTTATTTTTTATTTTTTAATCGAAATTATTTATTAAAGACTAAGTATTTGCGTTTAATAACTAAAGTTTTCCTTCTGTTATACCTATATCGCAATTCAAAACATTTTCTTTTATTTTTCAATTTTTTATTATTTATTTTAAAATAATGCGAACAGGCAAACATATGGTGTTATTTTTGCTCTTTTACAAAATTTTTCTAAATCGAGACAAAAATCACTAAATTAGGTCAAAATTAACATTATTTTTGTATTTTTTTTAAAGTCGAAGCACGATTTTTAAGTCAAAAACTCAATATTTTTTTTAATGAAAAATAACAAAACTATAAGTTAAAAATGGTGTTATTTTTGCCCTTTTTCTAAAACGCGATTATTTGGGGAGATTTTGTCAAAAATATTTTGAAAAATCACTAAATTATTTTAAAATGATGTAGGTAATTTTTGTTTCGGTTTTAGTGCGTTTTTCGACAAAAACGTCATTACTTTAAAGAATTTTTTAAAAAATAAGCTGAAAAATTGGTGTATTTTCGAAATTGGTGTTATTTAAGCTTTTTTAAGTTTGAAAAAGTTTTGAAGCAAAAACTTGGGAGATTTCGCTAAACCGCTAATATGACATTTTTTCTCATTTTTTAGCTAAAAACGCAATTTTTACAAAAATATGCCAAAAAATCCTTATATTGAGTCGAAAATTGTACTATTTTTGCCTTTTTCAAGCAATTAAGCAATTTTGTGACTCAATTTTTTTTTTTCACGAGATTTTGCTAAACCTGCCTAAAAAATCACTAAATTAGGTCGAAAATAATATTATTTTGTCTTGTTCGAGTGTTTTAACACGTTTTTTTTTGAAAATTGCAAGAAATTATTTCCGGAGTTATCTTCGACAAACCATTTCATACATATATTTCGGATAATAATAATAATAATAAATTTTATAAATTCAAAATAATTTAAATTATGAACGCAACATGACGACAAAATCATAGAGTCTCACAAGAAAACATCCAATTTCAAATCCTTTTGATTTGAGAATCAAAATTTTTAATGATATTACTTTTTATTTTAGTAGGAGTTTTAGAAAAATAGTAAGAATATTTTTAACCTTTTTGTTAAACGAATTTGGTGACATCTCAACTTAGTTCGAGAGAATAATTTTAAAACAAACAAAATTTTTAAACAAAAAAAGAAAAAAATTATTGAGGGAAGTAAGTTTTTAATTGATATAGGTAATTTATTAATAACTAAGTAGCATTTACACTGTTTTTCTTACAATTCACAATAGTTCACATTATTAATTTTCAAATCTTAGAGCAATTTTTAATTAATTAAACACTCTTAAAACAATTTCACGAATTTCACGAACCATAAACAAGAGATAATAACACAACAGATAATAATTCATAAAATTATATATTGATTTTTTATTAGTGTTATTTTTTGATGTAGGATATGTGGTTGCAATTTTTTGCAATATTAACATCCTGTATTTAGTCTTTTACCGAGATGCTCATAACAGTTTTACTAAGCGTTTCTAAATTTTACGACGCGTTTATTATTTTCTGGTCACATTTTAATGAAATACTGTAATTACTGTGCCCAGTACGGAAAAACCAAACTTTCTCATTGTATTATTTGATTAGAATTAATTATAATGCAAAATTATACAAAACACATTGCTATTAGTTTCGCGTGCTACAGCACTTGAGTGAAAATGTTGAAAACCGGTGTAAAAACTCTCTTTTCGCTCTAATATTTTGCATTTTCGGCTAGATAGAGTTGCGAGAAGCACAACAAGCGTTTAATTGATTGTGACATCGTCATGGAATACGAGCAATCAAGCGAAAAGAACACGAATTCTGCCAGTCATTAGACTCAATCACTGAATTCAGAGCCGTACCCAAGGGGTGGGATTAGGGGGTTCAAACCCTTCCCGAAATGCTGAGCACTTTGTTATATAGTGTTATAAGTGTTAAAAATTTAGTTTTTTTTTGTTATTTTAGTGAGTTAATTTTAAATTTTTGTGAATTAATTTTTCATGTGTTAATTATACAGTGTTTCATTTTTATTGTTAGGTACAAATTTAAATACTTGAATATTTAATTTTAAGACAAAAGTGTTTCGAAAAATGCTATGAAAGGGATTTACATCCCCTAAAAAAGGTACGTTTTTTAAAGGGTTTTTCCTAATATTTCAGAATAGATAAAATTACAAAATTTGGTACCTTTATATGTACACCTAAACAAATGCCAAATAACAAAATTTTTAATCAGGGGCATCTTGAACGGTAAAACAAATTTAATTTTTAATTTTTATGCTGTTTATGGTCTGTAACATAAATTTTTGAACCGATTTTTAATAAAAATTCGTAAATTGTATCGGAAAAACACAAAAGAAATTTTTTATTGTAAAAATATGAAATTTTGTTGCTGAATGTGGCAAGAAACCACAGGCAAAATAGTTAGAATAAATTTTTACCCTAATCCCAACTAGTTTACGAAGCCCCTAATTAAAAATTTCAACATTTTTCTTTTGTACTTGTTTAGGTGTATAAAAGTTATCATCTGTACCAAATTTTGAATTTTTTTTCTAAAATGATTTCGCATCCATTGCGTAGCATTTTTCGATATATGTTCATAGAAAACTTTTTTTTACATATGTATATTTCGGATAATAATAATAATAAATTCTATAAATTTAAAATAAATTAAATTATGTACGCAACATTACGACAAATTCAGAGAGTCTTACAAGAAAACACCCAATTTCAAATCCTTTTGATTTCAGAATTAATGACATTATTTTTTAGAAAAAATAGTAAGAATTTTTTTTAACATTTTTGTTAAACGAATTTGGTGACATCTCTGCTTATTTCGAGAGAATTATTTTAAAACAAACAAAATTTTTAAACAAAAAAAGAAAAAGTTATTGAGGGAAGTAAGTTTTTAATTGATATATGTAATTTATTAATAACTAAGTAGCATTTACATTATTTTTCTTACAATTCACAATAGTTCACATTATTAATTTTCAATTCTTAGAGCAATTTTTAATTAATTAAACACTCTTAAAACAATTTTACGAATTTTCAAACCATAAACAAGAGATAATAAGTGATAATAACACAACAGAGCAATAAATAAACAGTTTTAACATTTCTCGGAAAAAAAAACACTGTAAGAAACAGTTTATTGGCAATAATTATTAATTTTAGTAAAAAAGCAACAGTTTTAGGAATCAATTTCAACTCGGCTTGGTTTCAAAACTAGCAAAAAATATACAGTGTGTCTTCTTAATTTTGCGAAGAAATGCAATAGTTCTATAAAGCTTTGTTACAGATATACAGAGTGGTAAATTTTCATGATACAAATCAAAATCTATTAGTTCCTCCGAAACCACTTGTTTTTTTTTATAAAATTATATATTATTTTTTTTTAGTTTTATTTTTTGATGTAGGATATGTGGTTGCAATTTTTTGCAATATTAACACCCTGTATTTCGTCTTTTACCGAGATGCTCATAACAGTTTTACTACAAAATTTTTAATCAGGGGCGTCCTAAACGGTAAAACAAATTTAATTTTTAATTTTTATGCTGTTTATGGTTTGTAACATAAATTTTTAAACCGATTTTTACTAAAAATTCGTAAATTGTATCGGAAAAACACAAAAGACATTTTTTTATAAAAAACTATGAAATTTTGTTGCTGAAATGGCAAGAAACCACAGGCAAAATAGTTAGAATAAATTTTTACCCTAATCCCATCTAGTTTAGGAAGCCCATAATTAAAAATTTCAACATTTTACTTTTGTACTTGTTTAGGTGTATAAAAGTTATCATCTGTAGCAAATTTTGAATTTTTTTTCTAAAATGATTTCGGAAATATTGAAAAAAACCTATTAAAAGACGCACCCTTTGCGTAGCATTTTTCGATATAAGTTCACAGAAAACTTTTGTTTTAAAAATGAATATTCTATCTCCTGTTTAATTTTGTAGCAATAAAAAGTATTAAAAATTTATTTTATTTTTTGTTACTTTTGTGAGTTAATTTGTATTTTTTTATGTTTAATTAGGATCTCTTATTTTAATTT